ATCAGGCCAGCAAAAAGATGGAAGAAGGGCCTAAAAAAAAATTAAAGAGATTGTGCAAAGTCCCTAACGTAGGATTGACCATGGAATGTACATGAACTGGAAGGCCAGTTGACATAATAGGTGAGATCCCCTATGAAAAAAAGTGAGCCGAGGGCGGGCCTGTGGCTTACTTGGAAGTGTGTGGTGCCAATAACACCAAGGCCACAGGTTTGGATCCCTATATAGGGATGGCCACTTAGCTCACTTGGACAGTGTGGTGCTGACAATACAAAGTCAAGGGTTAAGATCCCCTTACTGGTCATCTTTAAAAAAAAGTAAAAGAATCTGCTGGCTGCCCTCAAAATGGAGAACAGCACCAGGTGTGGGGGTGAGAGAGCCTATATAGGGAGCCAAGGGCTGGCTGATACAATCAAGGAGGGGTATTATGCTAATGCGGAAGCTATGTGACCAGGGTGGAGAATTGTTCCCTTGCAGCAGCAAAAGGGTTTCTGTTTTGCAGAAGTCAGGAGGCTTCTCCTAAAGGGAATGGGGGAAGGGTTTGGTGCTGGAATGGAAGACAAGGCCTGCGGCTATTTTGTGCTTATTGTGTGCACAATGGTGCCGGTCACGTCCAACATCCATCACCCTGAACACAGCACACTCCTTCCCACCTTGAGGTCTGTACACCTGCTGTTCCTAGGACACCCTTGACCCCATCAGCCCTAGTTTAATGCACAATAAAAACAAAAAGTAACATTGATAATATTTATTCAGCATCCTAGGCACTTCCTACTCTAAACTCTTTCCATTGATTATCGTATTTAATCCTAACAATCCTACATTTTTTAGATGAGGAAACTGAGGACAGATGAAGGGACTTGCCCAAGGTCACACAGCTAGAAGGTGGCAGAACCAAGACTGGAAACCAGTTACCCAGGCAATCTGGCTCCAGAGCCCAAATAACCGGCCAAATAACCTCCACCGGTCCTGGGGCTCTCTAGACCTTATGGGTTGTCAGGCTGGACATCCACCCCCACCACGTGGAAGGCTTTTATGGGCACCTCACGTTCCTTCATTCTGGCGCGGGGCAGAAAAGTGCACCATCACTGCCCGGAAACATGCCAAGACGCATGCCACCTCGGGCCTGGCACCAGGAGCGTGGGCTTGGACACCTCGGGTCCGCCCGGTCCCCGAGAAGGAGGTAGCATAGGAAGGGGGCTCTGAAAACCTTGGAATCACCCAATGGCTAAGTGGGCCGGAGCGCTACGCAAATAACGTGCCTTTTATTGGGCGACAGCTCGCGCAGAGCCCCAGAGTCCCGCCTCCGCCCTCTCAAAGAAACAGCCAGACTTTGCAAACGCCTTGAGGCAGCGAATTCTGGAAACTGCCTCCGGAAACGGAACTCGGACTCCCAGCGGAATTCTCGAAGAGGGCCTTAAAAAAGAGGGGTGCATACACTGGGAACTGCCTCACTGATCTCCAAGCGCAGTGTGTCCACGTTAGTCCGGCACGTGCTTGACTCCAGTCAGCCACCGTAGGCCCCGTAGCCGGCTGTGCACTCTCCTGCGGTCCTTACGCCGGTAGCTTGGCGCTTGCTCACGAACTTGAGCCCAGGCGCACCGAGCCCCCTTTCCATTCCGTCTCCCCCCGCCGCAGCCTCAGGGGGCCGCGGCTGCGCGTGCGTACTTACGCCCCCTCCGGCTCAGCGTGGGAGGGGATGGAAATGAGGCAGGGCAGAGCAGTTCGCGCCGAGCTCACCCCTCCCCCGTCGCCAGGCGCGCGCAGGAACGTGCAGCTCCGCGGGGTCCGAAGGCAGCGCGGCAGCGGCAGCGGCCGCGGCGGGAGTGCCCCAGAGCCCCGCCCCCGGGGAGGGGCCGTCTGGCAGGTGAGGGGACAGGGGTCCAGGGGAACCGGATTGGGGACTGGACGCCAGGATCTTCTGGAGGGGAGATGCCTAGGTTCCCGAGGGACAGTGCATTGGCACCTGAGCCTTGGGAGGGTGCTTTGATACCCGAATGTCATGATTCCGAGGGGTGCATTGAGTCCCAGACGCTTGGGACCGCGAGGGAAAAGCCCATTAGGGGTCTCTGGGTCACAACACATGCCACGTTCCTTCCGTATCTTCCTCCAGGTTTCCTCCCCTCTGTCCTCCTTGGCCCCAACTCCACGCCCGGGATGAAATTTCGCGGCAGGAAAGACGCGGTTGACGCGGCGTCGATGGACTGAGACTAAGCCAAAAACCGGGTAAAGCTACCTCCTCGACGTGAAATCCCGCCCACTCCAGTCACAGGCCTCTCCCCTGGGACAGAGTGGCAAAGACCCGCCCATTCTGCTCGAAGGCCCCGCCCCTGGGTCTAGTTGCTGGGCGACGGACTTTGGTTCTGTTTGTATAGCTCCGCCCATTCCGTCTAGGTACTGCGGCCCGGAGGGTCTGGTGGGTAAAGTTCTTTTTTTTTTTTTTCTTAAAAGATGACCAGTAAGGGGATCTTAACCCTTGACTTGGTGTTGTCAGCACCACGCTCAGCCAGTGAGCTAACCGGCCATCCCTGTACAGGGACCCGAACCCGTGGCCTTGGCGTTATCAGCACCACACTCTCCCGAGTGAGCCACGGGCCGGCCCTATCTGGTGGGTACAGTTCTGCCCCCTGTGGACATAGACCCAGCCCGCTCCGCGCTCAAGGCGGCCGCCGAGGTTGAGTGGTAGAGGCCTCGCCTGCCTGCTCTGTTCAAGGACTCCAGCCCAGGGTTTACGTTGCAGAGGAACTGCCTCGGGGTCGGTTTGCATGGCCCCGCCCGCTGGGCTCGGCCCGTCTTCCCACTACGCATGCACTCACCCTAGGAGCCCAGATTTCTACAGACTTCATTCGTAAACAGGCTGACCCCTGATTTTGGGCCCTCAACCCCATCAGCCTGGTAATCACCAGCATCAACCTCCCGCCCCGCGCCCTGCCCTTAGGTTCCTGTGCCAGGAAGATGCTGGAGCGAGGCGGGGAGTCCGCGGCCGGAGGCACCAATCCTAGTCCTACTAGCAAGGAACCGGTGACCAACGGAGATGAAAGCGGCCCTGCCTGTGAGTAGTGAGCATTCTCCTGGAATGAGAACCACATTTGGGGGGGGGGGGGTATCTCAGGGTGAAAGTTTAAAAGCCTCGGGTGATGACCATTTGGGATCCCCCAAAATGTGACGTCCTGGGGAATCCTCCCGTTTGGCTTTGGGGGACCCTCGACGATCATTTACTAAGGCTTAGGAAATAACAGGAGGGACAGGGGGATACATTGCAGGATTTCAGGGTGATCACTGGGAAGATACTAGCAACGGACGCCTTAGTACCTTTGCGGAAGCCTTAGTAAGCTTTGGGGATCCAGTAAGATAACTCTTTGGAGCCCTCAGGATGATGTATGGGGAGAGGGGAGCAGGAATATGCCGTTTGGGGGATCTCAGTGTGGCGCTTGAGGTGCCCAGATATATTTTGGTGGCGGAGCTTGGCTTCGGTCCAGGATGTTGGCA